GAAGATGGTTTGAGCCCAGGAGGTTTAACGGGTGCAGGAGTAGACAGACACCACTGCGGTTCATTATCTTGCTGGCGGCATACACCCAAAAACTTTGCTGCATATCCAACATGCTACCAAAGTTTAGAGGCGAAGAACCACCACAGGACTATTTCCCCTCCACAGGTTTCTCACAGAATCCTCTCTCCTCAAGCCAAACAAATCTCAGTATGGTTAAGGACAAGGGGCATCTTGTAATCATTATTATGGCATATTAATGACAATATAATATGTAAGACCTAAATTTTTATTTCCTTGAACCATAATCCTTTAAGATACCTTAGGTCAGACATATACTCCCCCCAAAATGAAATAAACTGTGCAATCAGACAAAGGGGGAGAAACCATCAGCTATTAGCAACCTTTCAAGAAGTTAAATTTTACCTTTAACAAGAAAGCAATACTACCTTTACACCTTCTTCAGCTTCATCAATATCAAATATCTTTTTTGTTTTTTTCTTCTTTTTCTTTTGATTAAAGAAGTTCAAGTCATCTAGATCATCAGAAGTATCTAAAAAGATTGTGGTACAATATTAACAACAACTAGAAGGCAAAACATCAAATTTTGAATTATGCCAACACATTTCAGTTATACATTAATCAAGTCACCAGAAAAGAAAGATTGAGTATTAATTAGCAGTACATTACTCCCTCCACAATCACAGAAATTATGATTCTAAAAAACAATGGCAGGTCAACTCAAAGCTTAGTAGAAAAAATCTGATTAGGGGACCATGTTGAATTAAGATTTTTATTTATTAATAGTAACCTGACCATATCATTCCTCACTGTTCCTAAGACAAAGTCAGACTCCATAATTTCTACGACTCTCCAGCCTTATCTCCCCACTTCTGCTACTTGCCTTGACCCCTTCACTTCCCATACCCCGATCCCTCGCTCCAGCCCTACTGAACTACTTTCAGTTCCTAGTACAGTGTGTTTGTGGTCTCTCACCTCCAAGCCTTACCACGGGTCCTCCCACACAGCTCTTACCTCCATCTCATAGAATCTTGGTTAGAAGTTACTTCCACCAAGAAACCTTTTCTAAGCCTATCCTTTCCCCTCTACCGGGTTAGGTGTCCCCAGGGTGCTTAGATAGTACCTTCCACTTACTCCAACTGAGGTACTTATTACCAGCTTGCTTATCTATCTCCCTAAGGGGCTATGCATTGTTCACCTAAACTCTAGTGCCTAGGTCAACATTTCATAAAATAAATCAATCATCCAAAGGCCTTATAAATTATTTCACATTCCTTAAAACAAGGCTGCACAGTAAATACAAATATCAATGAAACTTTATTGACCATTAATGAGTAATAATGGGTTCTCTTCAGTAAGCTTTCCATTTGCTCTGCTGTGTATAAACCAGGAATATTTTAGGACCCCTCTGCTACAGTTTTCCAAAGAGCTATTTGTGAATTCATTTTGTCTTATTACCACAGGAATGATTTACTTTCCATGTTTGTTTTAAACATGTACAAGACACTTGGTATGGGGTAGATGTTCAATGAATGTCAGTTTTCCCTACCCAACATAGTCTTATAGTCAACAAATGCAAATAATATTTACAGAATAATTTCTAATAGTCAAATTATGTCCATGTTATAGCACAGGAGCGAATAACTAAAGCTGGTGTCTAATCCCAAACATTTTAGGCTTTAATTTTAACCTCTCATATACATTCTCAGATTTGTTAAATTACCAAACTGCCTATCTTGGCCCTATTTCTTTCTGCCTACACTCAAACGAGATTACCGTTAAAGTTGGAGAAGAAATCTGACAGGTTAGACTGGAAAATCAGCTCTGGAACAACAAGGTTTCATCATCTTTGCAACTTGTGAAGTCAGTGGAAACTTCCCGGTAAGAAGCCTATCAGAAATCTGGAAAAGTCCAATGTACACAGACTACTGATGGCCTTTAATTCACTGGAACAGCCTTATCAGGCTGAGAAGTCACTGCATGTACAAAATACAAAACACTGATGGAGCTTGGGCTCCTAGGACAACAGTGATTCTCTCACATCAACCACTCACCTTTTTTCCTGCTGTCCTCTTCATCAGCTTCCACATCTTTGTCCTCAGTTGGCTCTGGCTCCACTTCTTTTGTTTCTGAGGGCTGGGTTTCTTCT